GATCTAATGCTGGTTTATTCCCTAAAGGATTGTGGTGGCAGGAACTGAACCAGTCTGAAGCCAGGAGCCAGGAGCCTCTTCTGGGCCTCCCACTTGGGCACATGGGCACATGTCCCCAAGGCTTTGAGCCGTTGTCCACTGCTTTCCCAGGCCACAAGCATGGAACTGGATGGGAAGTAGAGCAGCAGAATATAAACCAATGTCACCCATATGGGATCTCAGTGCTTGCAAGAAGATAGGCAGTGGAGCCATTGTGAAGCCCTCCCCCCACCCAGTCTTTTCGTAAAGCTCCCTTCCTCCCGCCTTCCCTTCCTCCTTCTCTCTTTCTCTTGTCTTCCTTTCTTTCTTCCCTCTCCTGCTTGCCTGTCTTCATCCATCCCTTCCTCCCTCCCTCCATCCGTTCCTCCCTTCCTTCCTTCCTTCCTTCCATCCTCTTCTCTCTTTCTTGCTACCTACCTATGTATGTATTTATTTATAAGGCAGGTTTTACAGAGAAAAAAGTTTCTAACCACTGATTCACTCACCAAACAGCCTGAATGCCTGGGGCTAGGCCAGGCTGAAACCAGGAACCTGAAACTTCATCCTGGTCTCCCAAGTAAGTAGCAAGAGCCTAAGCCCTTGGGCTGTGCTTCTCTGCTTCCCAGACATATTATGCAAAAAACTCGGTCAAAAGTCGAGCAGCTGATGACATCAGAAGCGGTAACTTAGCTGGCTATGCTACTAGGCTAGCTGCCCTGTTTAAATGTAATTTTATTTTATTTTTAAAATTTTTTAAACAATTGTTAGAAATGAGCCATTTAAAAAAATTATTTTCATTGCAAAGTCAGGTATTTAGAGAGGAGGAGAGACAGGAAGATCTTCTGTCCGATGGTTCACTCCCCAGGTGGCTGTAACGGTTGGAGCTGAGCCAGTCCGAAGCCAGGAGCCAGAAGCTTCCTCCAGGTCTCCCACGCGGGTGCAGGGTCCCAAAGCTTTGGGCCGTCCTCGACTGCTTTCCCAGGCCACAAGCAGGAATTTGGATGGGAAGTGAGGCTGCCGAAATTAGAACTGGCGCCCACATGGGATCCTAGGCATTCAAGGCGAGGACTTTAACCACTATGCTATTGCGCCAGGCCCTACATGTAATTTTAAATAGATTGTTTTGAAATTGAATACAGTTAATTTATAGTGTAGGAGAAGGTGCTTATTACCTTGTACTTCCTTCAAGAAAAAAAGTTATTCATCTTACTACTTTGCAGATGTTTGGCATCCATGAGGTCCTCCCTGCTTTTTTTTCATAAAGATAGATTTATTTATTTGAAATGGTTACAGAGCAGTCTGGTGTAATGGGTTAAGCTGCCACCAAAAATGCTGACATTGCATATGGGCATTGGCTCGAGTCAAGGCTGCTCAAGAAGATGACCCAAGTGGCCTCCTAAACCCACAAGGGAAATCTAGAAGAAGCTCCTCGTTTCTGAATTCGACCTCGTCCAGTCCCGGCTATTGAAGCCATTCAAAGAGTGAACCAATGGATCTGTCTCCCTCTCTCTGACTCCATTTCAAATAAGTAAAATATATTTTTAACATTTATTTTTATTTGAAGGACAAATTTACAGATAGAAGGTGGAACAGAAAGGTCTTCCATCACTTACTTACTTGCCCATAGGGTCATGATAGTCAGAGGTGAGCTAATCTGAAGCTAAGAGCCAGGAGCCTTTTTCAGGTCTGTGATGTGGGTGCAAAGTTGCAAGGCTTTGGGCCATCCTCTGCTGCTTACGCGGGCCATAAGCAGAGAGCTGGATTGAAAGTGGATTGACTGGGAAATGAATCAGCATTCATATGGGACGCTGGCACCCCAGGTGGAAGATTAGACTTTTGAGCCATGGCACTAGCTCAAAGTAAAAAAAAAGCTCCCCGTGCAGTAGTTTAGTGGTAAAATCCTTGCCTTGCAACCAGCAGGTTTCCATATGGGCACCAGTTTGTATCCTGGCTGCTCCACTTGCCATCCAGTTCCCTGATTGCAGCCTAGGAAAACGGTTGAGGATCACCCAAAGCCTTGGGACCCTACACCCATGTAGGAAGCCCAGAAGAAGCTCCTGGCTCATTTCTTTGCATTGGTTTAGCTCTAGCTGTTGTGGTCACTTGGGGAGTAAACCAACAGATGGAAATCTTTCTGTCTGTATTTCTTTCTCTTTGTAAATCTGCCTTGCCAATAAAAGCTAAATAAATAATTTAAATCTTTTTTAAAAAACAAGTTATGGAGAGAGAAAGAAAGACAGAGACATTTCCCATAGATTTCATTCCCTAGATGGCTGCCATAACCAGGGCTGACCTAGACTGCAGCCAGGAACCAGTGTTGGTCCAGGTTAAGGCAAGAACTAGTAGCTTTTCATGGGTCTCCCACATAGGTATCAGGGGCCCAAACACTTGGGCCATGATCTATTACTTTTCCTAGGCCATTGGCAAGGAGCTTGATCAAAAGTGGTGCATCCAGGACATGATTGACACCCATGTTGGGCTGCTGATATCTTAGGCAGTGGCTTTACCTGCTATACTACACTACTGGACCAGTGAGTCCTTTTTATTACATTACTTGCAGACAAATTATTCCTAAGTCAGTATACTCTTGCGGTCAGTTCTGTGACATAGCAAGTAAAGCTGCCACCTGAGGTACTGGCATCCCACCCATATGTGTATTGGTTTGCTGCTATTCTTCCCATCCAGCCCCCTGCTAATGTATCCGAAGAAGCAGCAGAGAAAGGCCCAGGTGCTTGGGCCCCTGCACCCACATAGAAACCCTGAAGAATCTCCTGGATCCTGGCATGTTTGAAAAAAAATCATTAGTGTACTCTTTGGCATATCCTTAGCAACCTGCTAGCAGTATGTGATTCCCAGCTTCACTCCTACTTCAGCAGGTTTGCTGATGTACACCCAGCTTTGCAACAGATAGTTCCAGGGAGTTGGGTCCATGCCGCCCTCCTCCATGGAGGCCTAGATTGAGTTGCCATGTTCTGCCTGCCATTTGTGGGCATCTGGGTTGTGAACTAGTAAATAGAAACTTTGTATCTTTTTCTTAGTCTCCTTACTTCCTCAAATAAGTATTTTCCAAGTATAGGTATTTAGTTACATTGCAAAGGGCCATTTGTTCCCAAATGAAATGCTTTGTTTTTCTTCATTATAAGAATGTGTGTTACATAAAATTTTAAAATGTTAGTCATTTTAGTATTTTAAGATTTAGTATTTAGTATTTTAGTATTTAGTATTTTAAGTATCTTTATATCCTTTCCATGAATCAGATACATATATGTATATACATATATATTCATATGCATGGAGATAGATAACATTAACTTGTGTATATTAATTAAAAAGTACTCATACATGCTAATAACTGTTTATTGGTTAGGGTTTTGAGTGTCACAACATGATCTTAAGTATGATATGATATCCGGAAAACTTAGATAAAACTCCTCTTCAAAATATTTATAGTTCAGATGAATAAGACAGAGCAAAAATGTAGCAAGCAATATAAAGTTCAGTGCAGAAGCTATGCTTTATAGTGTATACTAAGCACTCACAGAGAATTAAAAAGTTTTTGTCTCCAGGGTCTCTAGGAGTGGGGAGGTGAGTTAAGCTGGCAGTGTTTATTATGGCTGCATTAAGTGATAACTGTTTGCTATCATCCTTATCACCATTCCAGGTTCTTAGCCTAGACATCTTGAATATTGATCCCCTCTGCAGAAGTGGGGAAGTTGAGGGGAAAAATAATCTCAGGAAGAACTTTAAATGTCCAAGTGCTTTCAGGTGAACATCTGCTTACTCCCTGCAATACGCAAAACACAGCTGGAGTTCTGGTGAATAAACATGAGAGGGGCTGGTATGGTGGCATTGCCAATTAAGCTGCTGACTGCAGCAGGCATCTCATATGAGTACCAGTTTATGTCCCTGCTGTTCAATTTCTGGTCAGACACTCTGTTAATGGCCTGGGAAAGCAGCAAGAGATGGCACCCATGTGGGAGACCCAGAAAAAGTTCTGGGTTCCTGGCTTTTGCCTAATCTAGCCCAGGCAGCAGGTGAAAAAGCTCTCCCTCTGTCTTTACCTCCCTTACCCCCTTTCTTTCACTTTATTTTAATAAATGAATGAATGGTTAAAACAACTTTGAGAATCACCTACTTATATTTCAAAGGCAGATTTCTGTAGATGGAGGAAGAGAGACAAAGGAATCTACCATCTACCGGTTCACTCCTCAAATGGCCTCAGTGGCCAGAGCTGAGCTGATCCAAACCTGGAAGCCAAGAGTGTCTTCCCAGACCCCGACATGGGTACAGAGACCTAAGACCTTGGATCATCATCCTCTGCTGCTTTGCCAAACCATAAGTAAGAGCTGGGTGGGAGTAGGAACAGCAAACATACAAACTGGTACCCATATGGATGCCAACACTTGCAGGCTGAGGATTAGCTTGCTATGCCACTGCATTGGCTGCAATGATCAGCTACTTATAGATAATAAATGAGTTCTCTAAAAGGAGGTATTGGGCAGTAATTCATTTTATTTTACAGTACTTTAAATACCTTTAAATTTGACAAAAGCAACCTGTAAATTTCTGTTTGTTACTTAGGAAAAGGAGATTTGTGATGATTATGCAAAGAGTTAAAAGCTATCTGTGCGGTTCTGGTGGTATTTGTTTGGCTCAAGGCTTAATATTTAGGAAATATTAAGTAAGAACATGTAGTTGTATATGTGAGAGAAAGGGAGAGAGGTTGGGGAGAGAGATTTGTTCTCTTTTACTCAAAAGAATTCTCATGTGTAGCTTAAATATCTAAGTTCTCAAGCTGTTTCTGGTCATATCATCCTGGATCTCATTATCTCTGCTTAGTTTTCACTTGTAAGTCACATGTCATATATGTGAACAGCATTGGGAATGTGACCTTTCTCATGAACCCTGTAAGCTGAGATTTTGCTTTGCCTTCCCCAGAGTAAATGTCACTGAAACATACACATTCTGCTCTCTCTCCTTAGGTAAAAATCTTTACACCAATGAATATGTAGCAATCAAACTGGTGAGTAGATTTATGTTTACAATAATTATAATTCTTGTGCTTTCACTGTTCATATCTTTCTACAGGAAATACTTGTAAGCATTCACAAAAATACTGATGCTGTTTTTTTTCCTTGCTTGTGATCCTACATAGTCACTTTCCTTTAATTGTGGTGTTACAATGATGAATCACTGTATACTATACAACAAAATATAATTAAGCAATGTTAACTATAGTGTTACCAATGATGAATCAAAAATTAGTCAATTAAAAATTGATGGAAGAACTAGTAATTCTGTGAACTTGTACTTTTCATACTGTTGGATTTTTTTTCTTACAAATTTATTTTGTCTTTGGTGTTCTTAGTTGAGAGGGATGTATGTCCATATGGGCTACCAATTAAGGATTAGGATAGGGAGGGTCAAGGTATGAGCAAAAGTAGGAGAGACAGCTGCTTCCAAAATTTTTTTCTTCCTGTGTCGCGGAGGCGGAGGGAGAAGGGGAGAGAGCTACTCCCAGCAGACCAGCCACATCAGTACCTGGGGATGGAGGTGGCCTCTTGATGTTATCCTGATGTGGAGCAAGTTCCGAGAACACTGCTGAAGTGGTTTTAATGTTGTTGATTTCATTGCTCCAAAGTGATGAAATCCTTCCAAGGTCCATTGGCTGACATAATCCACCTTAGTCTCCACTCGCCCAGATACTCTGTCCAAGCTTGCCTGGGAGATCTGTCCAGTTTGTTCTGTCATGGGTGTGTGGTACTTGATGTCCTCTGCAGGCCTCAATGAACTGGTTGTCGTGTCACCCTTGTGCATCTGGGTGTACAATCCACAGCAACTGAAGAGGCCCAATTCTGACACATGGCATTCCACTATCAACTCAGGCCGTATGGTTTTTCTCATTGTTGGAGTTCTGAATCCAGCAATCCAGTTTGTGGGGACCCCAAAGAAACTCTTCACCAGTGTTATCTCCAGACATGACTGCTGTGTGTGCCAGGCAGTATGAGGTCCAGCTCCGTGTATCATCCACATCAGACTACACACACACACACACACACACACACACACACACACACACACACACTCAAACTCACACTCACACTCACACTCACACTCTGGTGGTTGTAGTGGTCTGTTCTGTCCCCACATCAGACCACACACATACACACACACTCTCACACTCTGGTGGTTGTAGTGGCCCATTCTGTGCCCAGCCCATCTTGTATAGAAACCAATGGATGCTGCATTCCAGTCCAACTCTGCTCCACCACACGCTTGGCCCTAACGCACACCAGTGGAAACTGCAGCCTAACTGGAGCCCTCCCCGCCCCAATAACTCCTACTAGGCTTGTACCCTGCACAGTACTGTTTTGAAAAGATAAAAACATGTGAAAATTATTTTTTAAAGGTTTAAAGGTTTATTTATTTTTACTGGAAAGAGAGATATACAGAGAGGAGGAGAGACTGATGATTCACTCCCCAACTGACCGCAGCAGCTGGAGCTGAATCCAGGAATTCAGTCCAAAGCCAGGAGCCTCTTCCGGGTCTCCCACGTGGGTGCAGGGTCCCAAGGCTTTGGGCTGTCCTTGACTGCTTTCCCAGGCCATAAGCAGGGAGTTGGATGGGAAGTGGAGCTGCTGAGATTAGAACCAATGACCATATGGGATCCCAGTGTGTCATGGCGAGGATTTTAACCACTATTGTGCCGTGCCCCATGTAGAAATTATTACTGGACATGAATGATCCACTTTTTAAATGTAAAGAGTATATTAACATACTTAATAGAAAAAACAAGTTTGATTATGCAATAAATATGGTCTTTAAAAGCTGTCAGGAGTTCAGTTGATAATATCAGTACTAGTCTTTTTAAAAAGATTTATTTTTATTGGAAAGGCAGATATACAGAGAGAAGGAGATACAGACAGAAGGATCTTCCATCTACTGGTTCACTCCCCAAGTAGCCACAACAACTGGAGCTGATCCAATCTGTAGCCAGGAACCAGGAACCAGGAGCTTGTTCTGGGTCTCACATGGGTGCAAGGTCCCAAGGCTTTGGGTCATCCTCTCCTGCTTTCCCAGGCCACAAACAAGGAGCTGGGAGGGAAGTGGAGCAGCCTGGGCATGAGCTGGTGTCCATATGGGATCCCAGCAGATGCAAGGCAGTAGCCACTAGGCTACTGTGCTAGGCTCAATATCAGCACCAGTCTTAAAAATAGTCATTGAAAATAGCATCCAATTTAAAAAGCTAATTTTGCTATTGTTGGGGGATTAATAATTTCAGGAAATTGACTTACATTTAAGATTGATCTGAAACCATCTTTGGTTCTGTATATGAAACTGTAAATGTTTGTCTTCCGAGGGCCCAGAGGCAAAGTCCTCGCCTAGAACGCGCTTGGGTCCTATATGGGCACCAGTTCTTTTTTTTTTTTAAAGATTTATTTTTATTATTTTTTCATTGGAAAGGCGGATATACAGAGAGGAGAGACAGAGAGGAAGATCTTCCGTCCAATGATTCACTCCCCAAGTGAGCGCAACGGGCCGACACTATGCCGATCCGAAGCCAGGAGCCTCTTCCGGGTCTCCCACGCGGGTGCAGGGTCCCAAAGCTTTGGGCCGTCCTCGACTGCTTTCCCAGGCCACAGGCAGGGAGCTGGAAGGGAAGCGGGGCTGCTGGGATTAGAACCGGCGCCCATATGGGATCCCGGGCGTGCAAGGAGAGGACCTTTAACCACTATGCCAGCGCGCCGGGCCCTGGGCACCAGTTCTAATCCCAGCAGCTCCACTTCCGATCCAATTCCCTGCTTGTGGCCTGGGAAAGCAGTCGAGGATGGCCCAATGCTTTGGGATCCTGCACCTGCGTGGGAGACCTGGAGGAAGTTCCTGGCTCCTGGCTTCGGATCGGCACAGCACTGGCCAATGCGCTCACTTAGGGAGTGGATCATTGGACGGAAGATCTTCCTCTGGTCTCTCCTCCTCTTGGTATATCTGACTTTGTAATAAAAACAAAATAAATCTTTTTTAAAAAAAAAATGTTTATCTTCCGAGTAAATTTCCCTGCACTTAAACGTAGCTTTGGGTTTCAGTGGTTGAAAATCAGAAACATTCATGGTTGAAGGAAATATCTGGAGATAACTGAATGCTGTGATTCTCTAAGGAATTTTTACCACATCCACATCTGACCTGGGGTTGGTCTCTTCCTGTCAGTTGTGAGAGAGTAAGGATCATTTTATGAAGAACTGATATTCATCAGGATAATTTCTCTACAAAGGCAGACAAGAGCCAGATTGGTTTGTTTGACTTGGATTGTTTGAGACATGGGAGCAGGAAAAGAGGTGACGTATGCAACAGTGTATGTCACTTGTTTCCGGTTGACTATCCAGCCATTAACCTTATTTATTTATAGGAATTTGGTTACTGTGTTAAAATGTTCTCTAGTATATCTTTGACCATATGTGCCGGTGGCAGAAAATAGTTGTTAGACTACTTTAGAATTTTGCCTCACTACTGTATATTGTCAATTTTTACACTTGATCTTAGCCAAAAGGCCGAGTAGCGATATATTGTCGATTTTTAAAGCTGATTTTGAGACTTTCTTTTAAGGGACAGTTCTTTGATCTAGATTCATTCAACCAGGTTCATAGTAGTTAACCTGTATAGATAAGCTCACATAGCAAGATGCTGACATAATCAGGCATGACATTTTAATTTTGCTTTTATTTAAGTATTATTCTGGGTTGGTGTTAGCGTATTGTAGCAGGTTAAGCCTCCACTTAGAACACTAGCATCTTGTACTGGAGTGCTAATTTATGTCCAGCTGCCTGTTTTCTAATACAGTTCCTGCTCATGTGCCTAGGAAGCACATATGATGGCCCAAGTACTTTTGCCCTTAACCACCCACATGGGAAGCCAGGCTGGAGTTCTGCACTCCTGGCTCCATCAGGAAGTAGCCCCAGTTGCTGTAACCATCTGCAGAGTGAATCAGTGGATGGAAGATCTCTTTCTCATTGTTCTGTCTCCCTGCCAGTCAATTATTAGTTTTAAAACTCACACTTGTATTGCTTTATATGGCCAATAATTAAAATTAAAAATATAATTCGTAATATTTAATATGGTGTGTCACAGTCCTGCCATTTCTCTTTCAAATCTTTTTAATGTTTTAGAAAATAATTATGTTGCCTGTGAGTCTCCTGGTGCTGGGCTTTTTCTCCAGGGGACGTAGGAGGAAGCACTAATTGAACTCCTTCCATTCTAGCAACAAAATTTGCCTGGGGCGTGGTTCTCCTACAAGGTAACCATCTGCTGACAGTTTAGGATTTCAGGCAGGCATGTGTGTTGCAGAAAAACGGTGATTCTTGGCAAATGACCAGCCCTCTGTGGACATGCCAGCATCTGGCACAGTGAGACAAGGAAGCCCTGCATCTGCTCTTTCAGTTCTACTTTGTCTGGCTCATCACTGTGAATTCTTGTGTCTTAAATTTCTAAAAATAGCCCAAAATATACACACACATAGAAAGTAAGCAAAATATTAATAATGAGCCCTTCTTGTTCATGTTGCGTAGCTATCTGCAATTCTTTTGAACAGATGTTTTCTAACGGTTGCAATAAAAAAAGAAATTCCTCATACTGCTCGTCTAGTGAATTCAAGTGTTTTCAAGGCTTTCATTCATTGTGCTTTCACAAAATCTCTTTGAACCTCATTTAACCATGCATGAAAGGTGCAAGGTTCTTACATCTTGGTTAAAAAGCCCCTCATATTTAAATGTGTGAGTAGGTTGTATGCTTACTTCCCACCCTGTTTCTTAGTTTAAGACAAATGGTGTGATATAGCAGGGCAAGCCATTGCTTGCAGTGCTGGCATCCCATGTGGGTGTCAGTTCCAGTCCCAGCTGCTCTACTTCTAATCTAGCTCCATGCTAATGTGCCTGAGAAAGCAGCAGAGAACAGCCCAAGTGCTTGGGCTCCTGCCTCCAGGTGGGGTACCTGGATGAAGTTCCTGACTCCAGGCTTCAGCTCTTGAGCCATCTGAGGAGTAAACCAATGGCTGGAAGATAATTCATTCTCTCTCCTTCTCCCTCTCCCTCTTCCTTTCCCTCTCTCTTTCCCTTCCTTGTTCCCTCCCTTCCTCCCTCTCTCTGTCAGTAATTCCAAATAAGTAAAATCTTCCAAAACGTTAAAAGGAATATTACATTTGAGGAAGAATATCCTCCTATGGTTTCTTAAAATCTAGACAGAACAATCCCCTTTTTAGTGATTTTTATCAGCCTGTAATTTCATGTTGATTTGTCATCACTGTTTCTCTTTGGTTTCTTGTGAGTTGTTAGTGATTTTACTAAAGGATAAATTCTGTGACTGGATGTTCTTGTGGTAATGCAATTTAGAATCTGTAGTGTGATTAACCTTAAGTACTTTTCTTTTGAGTACAGGAATCTTGGCAAACTACAAATCCAACTCTAATAATTGCTGATTTTATATTCCGAGAAGGATATAAGTTCTTTCCTAATAGCATTCCCTTAGGATATAAAATACCCTATCTGCCTGCATTGACTTAAATAAAATCTTAGAAGCAAAGTTTTCTTTAACAAGGAAACTTCTAGGTTCGGTGAATTATGGATTCTGCTCTCTATGGAGAGTTTCAAGTGAATTCAGGAAAGAGCCTGTTAAGATGATCAAAGAATGAAAAAAAAATAGGACCAATGAGGAAAGATTAAAGGAATTGAAATTACTTCACAAAAGTCAAAGAAATCACTCAAGAGTTTTATTTTATTTATAGTAATTTGAAGATAGCTGTTACAGTATTCAGTTTATGTAGAGTCTATTTTTACCTCATTATTGAGGATATAAGAGAAGTAGACTTAAGTTTCAGTGATGAGATATAAACTCAATGTAAGCCTTCCAAGCTGTGAAACTTACTCAATACCACATGAATTATCAAGGGGAGGCTGTGGAATTTCCTTTTTTGGAATCTCTCTCAGAAATAGGACAGATAAGCACTGAATGGAATAAGGGACAATCTTTGCAAAAAATGATGCTGGGGAGACAATATATCCACACACAATAAAGGATATCATCTACAAAAATAAATGGATCATAGACCTAAAGACAAGGTCTAAAATAATCAGCACAGGACATTGGGCAAAGCATTATGACATTGAATTTAGCAATAATTTCTGGGGTATGATACCAAAAACCACTGCCACCAAAAGAGGAAACTACTTAAGGCATATTTCAAAAAATAAAATTTTGGAATATACCAGAACACAGCAACAGTGAAAAAACAACTTCTGGAATGGGAGAAAAAAAATTTTAAATAATATTTTGTGATAAAGGTGATATCCAGAATTTACCGTTTTCATCATTTTTGTTTTATATTTCATTGGTTAATAAATATAGTAGCATTGTTGTGTAACCGTCACCATCATTGTATCTATTAAACATTAACTCTCTCCCCTTTGTTCAGCCTCTGACAACTACCATTTTTCTTTCTTTCTGTGCAGTATATATGGAATCAGGTAATATTTATCCATTGTCACTGGCTTATTTTCTAGCATAATTTATCTCCATGTTGTAGCATTTGTCAGAATATCCTTTCTAAGTCTGAACAGTCTATTGCTTTTTGGTCAAATTTGGTTCTTTCATTCTTGGATTCTTGGGTTACTTCCACCTTTCAGCTGTTTGGGTAATGCTCTATGAACATGAGTATACAGATGTCTCCCTGAATTCCTGCTTTAATCTGTATATCCACCCAGAAATGGAATTGATCAGAGTGAATCTGTAGGATTTTTTAAAGACGTGTTTATTTGAAAGGCAGAGCAATTGGGAAGGAGGCACAGATCTGTCTCCTCCCCAGATGGGGGGCTAGGCCAGGCTAAAGCCAGGAGCTATAAATTCAGTCTGTTTTCCATGGCTGGCAGGAACCCGAGTACTTGGACCATCATTTGTTGGCACTCATGCACATCAGCAGGAAGCTGGGTCAGAAAAGTAGGAAGTGTCACTTTACCTTTGCACTCTGGTATGGGCTAACATATCCCAGGGAGCAGTTAATCTACTGTGCCTCAGTGCCCATCCCTGTGTTTAATAGTTTTTGAAAGATCACCATACTGTTTTCCACAGCAACTGAACTATTTTACATTCTCACCAGCAACATACAAGGGTTCTAATTCTTTCATATCCGCAACAACTCTTGTTATTTTATGTCTTTTTGTAATAATTGTTTTAACAAGTATGTGGAGGCTGCTGTTGCTATTTTGTGAGGGAGAGAGAAGTAAGAGATTGTACATACTGGTTCACTCCCCAAATGCCTGGGCTGGACCCAGCAGAATTTGAAATCTGAGAACTCAGTGCATGTCTCACCTTTTAGACAGGGATCCCGTGACTTGAGTCATCAGTATCCATCATTGTAGTCTCAGGGTCTGCATCAGCAGGAAGCTGAATCAAGAGTCAGGGATAGAAATTGAATCCAAGCACTCTGATGTGGAATGTGGGCATCCTAACTGCTGGGATAAATGCCCCCTAAAGATGTTGAGTTTTTAAAGAGGCCTTCATAAGCTTGTGGTGATTTTTTGCCTATAATTTGTATACAAAGATAACAGAAAGCCTTATCTTTTTAGGGTAATGTTTGATTATGTTGTTAGCTGTAGGTCCAGTACATTTGTCAGTTCAGAATAATTAGCTCATTCTTGGAGTTTGGTATAAGCAAAGAGTGATTGGCTCTTTTTTCTTTGCTATCTTTAGAAAACTGCGTTTTTAAAATCATTAGTGATTGAACTTGTATACTTAAATTATGTTTATGTTCTTTGATTTTCATAAGGAAGTATGTATAAACATGTTCCTAACCACACTGTTCATAATTTTGAAAACTGAAATCAGACTTAAGTGAATACATACATACACACTCATACATACATGAAAGAGAATACCTCAGTCATTAAAAGTAGTATTGTACACCTTTATTTACTGCCAATAAAAGATATCATTACTTTTTTAAAATTGAAGTTCATCACTGAACAGAAAATACAGTATGATATCATTTATGTGAAATTATGTTTTTGAGTCTCTAATTATAAATACATGGGCAAATCAATAGATTGAAGGATAAATGGTTACCTTTACACTGGTAAGTTCTCAGACTTTTTTTATCTTCCCAATATTTTGTGTTTGAATTTTTTCTAAGCAGGTATTACTTTTCTAAAATCAAAAGATTTTTCCCACCAAATATTAATAATGAAATAAGCAGGAAATATGTGTTGACATTTTTAAAAGGGTTTGACACCCTGGCTTCAGGGCAAGTATATTTCAGGGGAATATTTTTTTAAGATTTTTTTTATATTTTATTGGAAAGGCAGACATACAGAAAGAAGGAGATAACAGAAAGATCTTCCACTTGCTGGTTCACTCCCCAAGTGACCACAATGGTCAGAGCTGAGCTGATCTGGAGCCAGGAGCCAGGAGTTTCTTCCAGGTCTCCCATGCAAGTGCAAGGTCCCAAAGGTTTTGGCTGTCTGCTGCTTTCCTAGGCCACAAGCAAGGAACTGGATGGTAAGTGGAGCAGTCAGGGTATGGCAGATGCACGGCGAGGTTTAGCCACTAAGCTATCACACTGGGCCCTTTGGGACTATATTTCTTGGGAGAGAGCTGTTCCTGAATGATGGCTCATGGAGGGCCTATATCTATGGAAGAGATTGCATGTAATTCAGCTTCATGTTAGCTTTATTTTTCAGGACAAATCTTGAGAAGATAAGACTATCATATGGGGCCTGGAACAGGTAGCCTAGTGGCTAAAGTCCTCACTTTGCATGCCTGGGATCCCATATGGGTGCCAGTTCATATCCTGGCTGCTCAATTGGCCCTCCAGCTCCCTGCTTGTGGCCCGGAAAAGCAATAGAGGATGGACCAAAGCTTTGAGACCCTGTACCTCCTAGCTTTGGATTGGCTCAGTTCTGGCTGTTGCAACCACTTGGAGAATGAAAGATCTTTCTCTGTTGCTCCTTCTCTCTGTAAATCTGACTTCCAATAAAAATAAATTTCTGAAAAAAGACTATTAATATTAACCTCTAAAATATTAAATGATCTTAGCCATCATTTACTGTGAAAATTTAAGAGTGAGAGAAATTTCATTTGTCTAGATCTGATCACAGTTTTCTTTTGGGTTTCAGGAACCAATAAAATCACGTGCTCCACAGCTTCATTTAGAGTACAGGTTTTACAAACAGCTTGGCAGTACTGGTGAGTCAAGTTTTTTTTTCTTTCTCTGTTTACTTAAGTGCGGTAGCTCAGGTGGAAACCTTAAAATACGTGAATTTTTAAGTTTCTGGTTTCTGGGTTGGTAAATTCACATAATCAACCAAAAAGCTGCTGTTCCTGGAGGAATAGTTGAGTTATTGGGGTTCTGTGATGCTGTGATTGTGGTCACAGAGCAAATTTCGGATGCTTTGTCCTGCCTCAAATACAAATGGTATGTGAGTTTTCTCTTTTCTTTCCTACCAAAAGAAAGGAGGAAAGGTTGGTAATTTGCAGACATGTATGTTTTAGCACTTTGAAACGCATTGTGAAATGCCACAATTGTGTCATTTTATCCACTGTTCTTATTAATTTGCAAGAGATATCAATATTACTATAATAACTTAGCACCTTTGGGGATTTTTATGATGTAAGTTTATGAATCTTTTCTTAAGAATTTCCTGTTTTTTAACCCAAGAACTCTCTCATTTCTGAAATGCTTTCCTGGGCTTCTAAAAAAGTATTTTGACTTAGCAAATGTTACCACTGCTAATAGGTTGCATCTGAAGGATATCTCTGTTGGAAGAAGTAAGCAGCCCTGTGTTTTGTGTTTCCTTAAGTGTGACAGTTTTATGTGAGTGAGTGATTGAAGCATAGTTTCCATCTCAGATGCCATCAGTGAAAGTACTATCAAAAGAATTTGACTTTTACTTCCTTAAGTACATGGAATCATATAAGAATCATTGAGCATTGGTCAGGTCATATTCTCAACTAACCAAGCTGTATCATAACTTAGAAGCCTATTACAGGCATTTGTCTTTTATTGAATTCATCGTGAGTTCTTCCTCATGGTAGCTTCTTGTTCTGTATTGGTTGATTGATGATATCTTTAAATGTGGATATTCTCGACAAAAGATTTAAAGCTGACAACTGAGTCCACAGGATGTACACATAACTTGAAGCTTAACTTCGTTTATGCCCCAGAACTTTATACATTTTGTTGTTCCATTTATCTTGTTTCAGTTTCCATAAATTTTAGCGTGATGACTGTTGAAACATGTTTATGATACATATTTGTATGTGGCTCGCAAATGAAACACAGGTGAAAACCTGTTTAATCCAGCACAATTTAGAATTTTGAATGATCCTGGAGGAAGTGACTGGGCCAAATGAAAAGATTTCTGTCATCCCTGCTAAATAGGACCTCCAAGTCAGGCTAATTTTTTTCAATTGGGAGCCAAAATAATCCCATTAACTTGTTATATGGGATTGAAATTTTATTGCTGAATTCATATTTTCCCCAAATATGGAACATTGCAATTTCCTGAAATTTGAGCATTCTCTGTCTACTGAAAATGGAGAGTAAATGGGGGCAGCATTGGAGGAAAAAGGATTATAAAAAGTGCCTTTCACTTGAGGCAACAAGGACGAACTGGAGATTCTGAGACTGTCCCTGCCCTCAGTGGGAGTAGGATGGCTGTTTGCAAGGACTATACCTATGACACTTCTATTTTTTTTTTTCAATCTTAGGTATGGTGTTTATTCACTTGCGTACTGTACAAATACTAGAATTTCCTTTTGCAGCAGAAAATATAAAAGTAATCTTTATGGGAATTCATTTGTCACTGTAAATTTTTCTAAATTTCTGCAAATAACTCCAAAATTAAGGCAAATGAATAAATAGGAACTATGGCGAGGCTGTGGAACAGCAGGAAGTTGAGCCAATCCTCAGAGACCTACCCACCCAGACTCTTAGCAAGAGTTAGCTGCCCTTTGTTATTAGCACCCTCAGCTGCTAGCTCTCAGTGCTCAGGGCTCAGCAGAAGGGGACCAATGCATGTAAAAAAGGACGTGTGCATTCAGTGAGCCAGAAGCAGCAAAGAAAGGTTGGAGTGGTACTGGCAGGTATCCAGCTTCACCCATGTTTCCCTCCTTTTAAGAGCGAGGCTTACAGGATCCAGACAGAGGGACTGGATATGCTGCCTTGATGGGAGGAGGCAGTCAGGTCTGTGCCATTGTATAGCAATGAACCTGGGTTGGAGAAGTCTCCAGAAAAAGAAAAGGCATCTGACTCTATTGTGGTAGGACAGAGAGCACAATACAAGTGCCACGCACTGCTATTTTGGTGATGTTGCACTTTTTTTTCTAATTTATTTTTGTTGGAAAGTCAGATATACAGAGAGGAGGAGAGACAGAGAGAAAAATATCTTCCGGCCGATGATTCACTCCCCAAGCAGCTGCAATGGCTAGAGCTGAGTTGATCTGAAGCCAGGAGCCTGGAGCCTCGAGCCTCTTCCTGATCTCCCACACAGGTGCAGGGTCCCAAAGCTTTGGGCCATCCTTGACTGCTTTCCCTGGCCACAAGCAGGGAGCTTGATGAGAAGCGGGGCTGCTGGGATTAGAACCGGCGCCCATATGGGATCCCAGTGGGTTCAAGGCAAGGACTTTAACTGTTACACTATCACACACCAGGCCCTAATGTTGCTCTTAACTTAGTTTCCTAAAGCACTGACACTGGCATAGAGTGGGTTACTGTCATAGTCTGGCCACAATATTTTTTTCAATTTAACTTTTCCTTTGCCTTTAATTTTTCACAAACAACAGCTAAAAAATAAAGTCTGTTTAAGATGTGTAACATTAATTTTTTAGAAAGATTTATTTGAAAGCCAGTGTTACACAGAGAGACACAGATGTTTCATCCATTGTCTCCTCATATGACTGCAACAGTCAGGAGTCCAGAGCTTCATTCACGTCTCCCAGATAGGTACAGCATCTTCCAATGCTTTCTCAGGTGCGTTAATAGGGAGATAAATCAAAAGTGGAGCAGCTGGGACTTGAATAGATACCCACATGAGATGCCAACATTGCATGCAATGGCTTAACCTGCTGCGTTACAGCAGCAGACCCACAGCATGAATTTTTAAGGTCCATTGTGAAGTGACAGCCGCATTTTTTTTTAATGTTTTTTTTTTGTCCACTTGAAAGGGAGAGCAAGAGCAAAAGATTTTTTATCCAAGGGCTCACTTCCTCATATACATACAGGGCTCGACCAGACCAAAGCCAGGAATGTGGAACTCCATCCTGGTTTCCTGTAAAGATGAAAGGGGCCCAGATACTTAAGGTGTCATCTACTGTCCTCTAGGATTTGTTAGCAGGAAGTGGATTGGCAATGCTGGCCCCATACTTGGGCTTTTTAACAGCTATTTCACATACTTGCCTTTTACAATTTTATGAAATTATAGTCAAGTGAAACTACAAATCTTTTTTTAAAATTATTATTGTTTTGTATTGAAAGGCAGAGAAAAAAAGATCTTCCATCCATTGGTTCACTCCACAAATATGTGCAGTAGTTGGGACTGTACCAGTCCAAAGTCGAAGTATGAAACTCAGTCTATATCTCCCACATATGGGTGGCAGCAGCTCTAGTACTTGAATACCTGTTGCCGTCTCAGGCTTGCGTTGCAGGAAGGTGAAATTGGAAACAGCCAGGGCTCAAATGCAAGTGCTCAGACCTGCCACATACCAAGTAAAGTCTTAACCTTTGCAATAAATTGCTACCCCCATATCTTTTTTTATATAAGTTGACATTGATCAAGACCTTTTGCATTTTGTGGTTATATAATTAATTTTGAGCAGCCAGACTTCTGCAATGTCATTTTGTTTTGACCTTTCGAAATTGGATTTTAGGATTTTTTTCTATCCTAATTTTGTTGTCCTATTGATAATTATATATTGATTATGTTTTAATGTTGTAATTGTGTGTTTGTCCTTTATCTCAATAAAATTATAATAAGCTCCTTGGAAGTAAGGCTGTACGTTTTTTCCTTTTGTATATTTAGTTTTCTTCCAGGGCCCAACATAGTTCTGTAACATAGCAAGCAGTCAATAAATGAGTGATAGCAGAAAAAAGTTAAAAAAGTTTGATAAGCTTGCCTTTTTGGTTTTTACTAATTTGAAATATTTCTTGAGGATGACTCCAGAAAAAAATTTATTTTGAAATTAGATCATATATTTGACAAGAAATTAGAGAAGGACTGACCACAGCTCACTGTAGTGTGAGCATGAACACTTGAATATGTTGTTTACAAGCTCCACTCTTCCTTTGTTCCCCCAGAAGAAGTTCCCAGCCTTAGAAGAGAGTCATCAGTTTTGGCAGTTTTGGTTGCCTGTGCCCATGTTGGAATACCCAGATTCACGTCCCAGCTCCCATCCGATTCCAGTTTACTGATAATGGGCATGCTACGAGGCAGCGGGTGATGAATGGCTCAATTAATTAATTCCCTGTCACACTTTTGGCAGGCATGAGTTGAGTACCCAGCTCTTGGCTTTGTACTGGCCCAACCTTGCTTTTGGAGGCATTTTCTTTTAAATTATTATTTTCCATGGATTGCTTTTGTAGGTATGGAGATTCCCCCTTGTTCTTCCCTTTTCTTTCCCTCCCCCCCCCCCACCATTTCCCCTATATTATTAGAGTAGTAGAGTTCTGTAGTAATAATTATAAGTTTAACATTCTGCTATTTAACTACATCTTGGAATTGCAGATATAGACAAAGATAGAAAATCTAGTATCATATTATCAAGGTAACCGTTTCACTAGAGTCTTTCTTTCATGTAGGAGGAAAGATACCTACTGTGACATATATTCTCTTCCTGGTATAGTAGTCTTCATTATACAGTTCGTGTATGAGTATATGTGTATATACTGTTCATATCTATGTTTTGTATTTTGCATGAAGATTGCCTTTTATCAGAGAGAACATATATTTGTCATTTTGATGTTGGTTTATCTCATTAAGTATAATGATCTCTAAAACTGGGACCATTTTGTTGCAAATGGTACAGGATTTCATTCTTCTTAATGGCTATGTAGTATTCCTTGGAGTAGATGTACCACCATTTCTTTATCCATTCCTCTTTCAATGGACATCTGGATTGTTTCTGTGTCCTCAGTATGGTAGGTTGTGCTGCTGTAAATGTAGAACAATTTTCATTTGTCTGAGCACTCT